CAGAGGTGGACCCCTAAGGCCTCTTTCAACTCTTAATTGTCTGATATCTTGAGTTTTCAGGGAACAGAAACTTTAAAAAGCTTTAAGTATTTTGATTGGTAATCTCCAAGATATGTTACATATTTCCCTGCTTTCCCAGAGTATATCGAACATAATTTAGTCTTTTATTATCTTCTATTGGTGGCTTGGGGTCAGTTTTCTGGCTGTGCTGTAATTCATGCTGCCCTTAGGGATGCTAATGAGTATTTGTATTTTTTTATATTTTTGTCTAAGGCTGTTGGTCACTACCTGACTATGCTTTTTCAGATCCTGCTTTATATTTTATTGTTTTTTAAAAGCCAAATAGTTGAAAAATATACCATAAAACAGCAGTCCCTCGCCCTGCATGCCACCACATGAATGAACCTTGAAAACATTATGCTCATTGAAATAAGGCAAACACAAAAGGACAACTATTGTATGATCCCATTTATATGAAATACCTATAATAAGCAAATGCATTGAGACAGAAGTAGATTAATGGTTACCAGGGGCTAGAGGGAGTTATAATTAAAAAAAAAAAAAAAAAGTCACCAAGAAAAGAAAAAAAGCTGAACACACTGTGTATGAGCAGGGCTTGTGTACCGGTGGGTGATTGGGTGAGAACTGGCCTTTTAGCTGGGGGACACTCAGGTGTCAGTATTTTTGGTTCTCTTGTCTGGGGCCATTCACTTTCTTCAGAGAAAAATCATCTGGTTGCCTGATGATGAGCTGTAAGTCTGGCTGCTGGCATTTGGGAGGCAGCACAGATCTCAGTGGGGACTTGAGTGTTAGTGTTGAATATGCAGACTTCTTCATTCCCTCTATGCAGTCTGGTGGCCCTGCCAGCCCCCTCTGCAGTGCCTGAAGCCTTTGCATCCTCTAATCTCCTGTCTACTTCGGTTTCTCCCGAGAGTAAACTTTATGTCTCTGGTAGACATCAGGGAGAGGAGTCATCTGGCTTCCCCAGGTTGGGCATGAGGACCCAGGGGTGTCTTAATTGCTCCTTATATAGACTTTAAACTAGTTTCTTTGTCTTCAGCCCTATACTTCACCACCACCCTTCCTAGTACTCGGTCACTCCTGTCCCTGAGCCTGCCCTGCATTTTCATTGTGAATCCACTTGCTTCTCATCAGTGTGAGCACTTAGGATTCAGCTTTCTCTAATCTGTAAAAGTAGTCACCACTCCTTCATCCATGCCCATCTTCTAACAATTTGTTGACATCACTTATCCAATATTGTCTCCTCTCCCATTGTCTTTATGGTTTTATGGCTTTGATTTAGTGGGGTTTTTGAAAAGGATTTCCCAGTTATTGAGCTCTGATAATTATTTTTCCTTTTCAAGGAGGATCCATACGTCACACCCATTTGAAAAGCAATGGATTTGGACGTCTGACATTGTTAAATAGTGATTGGGCTGCTTCATCTCTTCTTCTGGCTCTTTACCTTTATTTGGAGTGAGGGACAGGGAAGAGCTGCCTATTACTTTTTGAGGTTAAGTTGAATTCTTCAGGCATTCTGGCTCCTAGCTTCTTCCTAAAGTGGTGTACTCATGGGCCACATCCATGTATTTCTAAGCACCTCAACAGTCACATAGATAACTTAATCCTTTGTTCTGTAAGTTGTTGGGATATAATTGCTGTAGGTTTAGGCTATTGGTTTTCAGTTTATTTCATATTTAATTTTTCAGAATAATTTCACAGATTACTGAGTGAGAGTATGAAATCCTTCACTAAAAGTCTTTGAAGTTTGGATGAAACCCCTTGACCAGTATGTTAGGAAAGAAGGAAACTTATAGCTAGGCTTGACCCTGAATTGGGCATTTCCTTGGAAAGAGAGCAGTGAGCTGGAGATCCTGGAGTTCTACCTGATTTCTGTTCTCCCTGTGCTGTTTCTGTAAGACTTAATAGAATGGTTTTGTGTTCAACAGAAAACTCTCAGCAGAGGAACTAGAGCGAAAACGGCAAGAGATGATGGAGAATGCCAAGTGGCGAGAGGAAGAGAGGCTGAACATCCTCAAGAGGCACATGAAGGATGAAGAACAGGAGCAGAGGCTGGAGAAGCTGAACTCCCAGGACGGGAAGTTTATCCAGTCAGTGCATCTTTTTCCCGCCCAGGGGCTTTCACGGAGACTGTCTCAAGGAGGCAGCTCAGCAGCTGGCTCTTTGTGTTCTGGGTGTTTCTGTGCCTGTGCAGAGAGCGCGCTGCTCCCAGCGCTGAGATCAACCTCCAGACAGCTTCTGTTACTCCTCCTAGCTTCTGGCCAGATAGTGGGGTGTTTTTGAGGAGGGGAGGAGAAATGAATTGGTATTTCCTAAATCACTGAAAACTCCTAGGCCTTCCTTTTAAATAACAATTTATGGCTTAGGAAGCCTTTTTCCAAAGGCTTTGACTTATTTTCCAAAACAGATAAATTTTCCCTTATGGACACTATTTTTAAAAAATTTAGATCCAGATGGAGTGACTTGAAAGTTATCTATGTGAGCTTAAAAGTGTTTGTGTTTCTGTAGCTGCTTTAAGGCTAGCAACCTGTTTCTTTGAATTCTGCCAGATAGTTGACCAATTGAAAACATGTTTTTGACTTATGTTTGTCTTTTGTTCCTAGCCGCATGAAGCTAGAGAGTGCATCTACTTCCTCCCTGGAGGATCGGGTGAAGCGAAATATCTACTCTCTACAGAGAACTTCAGTAGCTCTGGAGAGGAACTTTATGAAAAGATGAAAGTCATCCCCTCTCTTGCTGGTTTTCCTGAGCTTTCCAGCGATGCTGCTGACTTCTTAAAAATTCTCTTTATAAGAGTTCAAATGACTTCTTCCAAAGATGTCAGACCAGCACTGTTCAAAGTGACCGTCCTCCATCGATTCCTGGCGCAGCTCACTCCCTTTGAGAACCAGTGTGACTTCCTTTATGGGACTCATCAGTCCCTCAGGAGCTTTTGCTGGGTGTAGAGTGGGTTTTGACTGAATTTTTTAATGGGCGACCATCTTGGTGTGAGTACCTGTCCTGCTCTGGAAGGCTGCTCCCTGTGGTTGTGACACTTACCTGGGCAACTGTGTGTCCAGACCTGTTCTACCACCTCAGTATAGACCGGACCTTTCAGAAACCTCTCTCTCCAGAGTCACTCAGATAGCTTGCGCTTAACTGGGGTAAATGAAGATTTACTTGATTTAGTATATAACGTGAGACTGATGTCAGGTTAGGGAAGAGTGAAAAACCATCTGGAAGGGAAAACTGTATACCCAAAAAAACCTCTGAATGAACTGTTAAACTCAACTATTTGGTCTTTCTTTTGAACTGTAAAAGTATAGTGTGTATATGTGCAAAAGTATAATTTTTATATGCTTTTAAAACATTTTAACTCTGTGAGAGTATCTTGTTTGGTAAGTACTTTAATATGTAATGGAATCACACTGAACCTTACTAGTGAGTTATACAATAAGGCAGTCAGTTCTTTTTTCTCTCTGAATCTGGCTGGTTTAGGATATAGGGTATCTATCCTTTCACACATCACTGCGTAGAGTCTCTAATGTAGTCAGTGCAGTGGTAAAGTCAAATGATTTTAGGAGTCAGGACCAAATTGCCAATGTGTGCCCGAGCTCTTAAAAGAAAGTAGAAGCTGTTTATTTCATGGCTTCCCTTTTATCATGTAGTAACCTTATTACAATTTTAGGATTTCAGAACTTGTTTGCTACTATTTTTTAGTCAGATATTAAAAAAAAAAAAAAATCCTTAAGGGACCAATCTCCTGTCTTTACTCCTTTCTCTATTCTTTCACTAGGAGTGGGCACTTGACTAGGGAACTTCTAGACATTCTTGACTAGAATGGCTGGGAGGATTCATGTTTTTGAGCTCTGATGTTGTCAACCACTTCAATACTTAAAAGCCAGTCTTTCCCCAGAGAGAATGTACCATTGGCTTGTTATTCATTTAATCACCTCATCCTACTTCCCTATTTTAGGGTTAATCGCTTTTATTTTACTTGGCAATAAATGCTACATTTATTTTTGTAACTGTTTAAAGAGCGACTATGCCATTTCTGTGCAGACTACCGACTTCATGAAATCCCAGACAGAACATGTTGACCAGTAATTTGTACCAAATATACGGAGATCCTTCATTCGAGATGAATTATGTAACAAAGCGTGGGCAGTTTACGCAAAGATTTTATGAAGTGAGCCAGAGAATAAGACAGTTATAATTCTCTGCTGTAGGATAGATGTCCTAAAGTACTAGCGGTCTCTTAACTCGACACTTTGGCGGCAGGAGGCCCGGCGGTGGTGGGTGGGTGTAAGACCCATTCATAAAACCCAGGGTTCCCGGCCTGCTTCTCTCATTGGCCCTGGGGAAAGGGGCGTGCCCCGCGGGTGGAACGCACCCTAGGCCCAGGGGAGTGGGCAAATCTACGCCTGGGTGGGGCGAGGGGGCGTTCCTTGGTTTTCCAAACTGGACTTCCTTTTCCTCTTACTGTGTTCCTACTCTCTCCCCCGGGGTGGGGATGGTACGTCCCAGCCTCCTCGCATTCCCGTCCCTCCTCCTCTTCCCGAGCAGCGGTGCCGCCGCCATCTTGGCACGTCAGGTTGAAGGAGAGCTAAACCTTGGCTTTGGGGGCCCGGACAGGAACACCTTTCCGTGGTAGACAGCGAAACCTACCCATATCTGCTCCCCTCCCCGCTGCCGCGCAGGGTTTTGAGGCGTGCGACGACAAGCTCGGCTCGGCCCAGTTCCTGTCAGGCCCAGGGAGGAGGGGCGGGCGGGGCGGCCGCTGCCTCTCCGGGACGGGTGGTACCATCTAGGCTGGAAGGACGGGGCCTGGTGACGGCGGGGCGGCACCGCCCGGGGGCGGGGTGCGGAGCGGCAAGGCCGGCTCTCTGGGGCGGGGCCCTCAGGCTTGCGGGGCGGAGCGTGGGGCGGACGGAACCAACGGGGCGGGGTGGGGAGGTAACGGGACGGGCGCGACCATGGCGCGGTGAGAAAGTGGGGGTGGGGATCGGTCCGGGGGAGGCCTGGGGCCGCTGGATTGTGCTCGGTCTCCGCCGCCCCCACCTTTCGCCGCCGCCGCCGCCGCCACCGCCCCGGGCATGTCGTCCAACTGCACCAGCACCACGGCGGTGGCGGTGGCGCCGCTCAGCGCCAGCAAGACCAAGACCAAGAAGAAGCATTTCGTGTGCCAGAAAGTGAAGCTATTCCGAGCCAGCGAGCCGATCCTCAGCGTCCTGATGTGGGGGGTGAACCACACGGTAACCAGCTCCCCCGCGCGCGCCCCTCCGAGCGCGGCCCTGCGCACTCCCACGCCCCCTGCAGCCCCGAGCCCTTGCCCCGCAGGCCCTGCCAGTGACGCCTGCAAACCTTTGCCAAGCCACTTGCACGCCCACCCCACCCTTGCACGCCGTCCCGGCCGGGTGTGCACTCCCCGCGCGCCACGCGAGGCCTGGTGTCTCCGTGGTACGCCGTCGCCTCCTCCCCCGCCTCCAGCCCCTCTAGCTTCCTGCGTCTGGTATCCTCACTTTGGGCAGCCCCTGGAGCTCAGGGGGAAGGCCTGGGTGCGGTGAAATCGCTTTCATCCCAGCGCTCTCTCATCTCCGATCACCCCGTTTGCTGCACTGTTTGCCCTCTTGTTCCTTTTAATCGCCTGCAAGCTCACTGTCGAGTGGATGGGGCTGGTAGCATTGGCCTGCCTGAATATTCCTCTGTTTCTGGTCGTTTTGGTTGGTGTGGCTGCAGAGTTTCCCATCCTCCAGGCCTGCTTAACCCTGACTATGGATTTTCTCCCTGGGTTTCCTTTTTTTCTTCGTCTTGAACGAGATAGTTATACCAGTTGGAGAAGCACAGGTTTCCTTGACTGCTCCTCCGAACCACAGACACTACCAGAGTCTCCCTGGGTTAAGAAAAGAGAATGTCACCATTTGAGAGAGGAGGAGGCTTGATTATCAGGACTATTCATAGTAGAAATGTCTTCCTGTGTTCTCCTATGGTGTTCATGTCAAAGACGTTGACTTCACATTTGTTGAACTCTCTATTGTGTGGTCCTGAAGGGGTGATAATGGATGGTGATTAAGATGAATAAGAGGTTCCCTGGATCCTTGGGATGCTTTGGGATTGTTTAGCAGCCCCTGCCAGGAAGTTGGAATTACAGCAGTGTTTGAGTTGGATGACTTTGTTTATGTGCTGTTTGTTTAGGATCCTGCTTTCTCTTCCAACTTGCACGCCTTGCCTTCTGACCCTTTCATTGTCTAAGAGTCCCTACACCAGGAATGAGCAAAGGAAGTAAAAGGACCTGAAAATACAACTTTACCGACTAAAGGTTTGGAGTGAGGACGATGAAGCTAATGGTTTTGAGTGGCTTGGGTTTTCTGTGGATTTTAGCCTCCCCTGACTTTTCTGAGCACTTCAAATTGTCCACAAGGCCAGATGATGACAAGGGGCCCAGGGCCGGCAAGACTTTTCACTTAGATTTGGTAGACGTACCTTTGGCTGGATATTGGTGAACCATCATCTGAGCCAGGTTTTAGGTCTTTACATCTAGTATAGAAAAGCACATGTGAGGTCTTTGTTGGTTTCTTGATCATGGACAGTTTACTGTTTTCAGTGTCATCACTAGGGTTAGTGAGGGTCCTGGCTAAGGTAGGGAATACCACTCGGTAAGCCCCAGAACTATAGGAGCTGTTTTGGATCAGTAGTCCAACAGAATTTGTTCTTCCTGCTTCTTGTTGCCCCAGGGGTCATCAGATAATTTTGCAAAGAAAACTGGGTCATCAGAATATGAACTCTGTGTCCCTGCCTGGGAGTCAATCCTTGATTTTGTTCTGCAGCCTGCTTCTCGCTAGAAAGCATCCTGTCTGTGTAGGGAACTGACTGGTCGGAGAGTCGGGAATAGTGCAGCTAGCTGGAAGGGACCATGGGTCCCTTGTGTTACACATGAAGAAATGGAGACCCCAGGTAGAGGATTAACTTGTTTGTAGTCACATCAAAAAATGCAGCTCGTTGTCCAGCACCATGGGGCTGTGCTCGCTGGTGGTGGTGTTGAGTGGCAAGCCCCATTTTCTTTGGCTCTACTTCCCTCTTCTATCTCTCAGCCAAGTCCCAAGACAGATGGGAATTGTGGTCTTGTTAGAGAACCTGAATGTATGTTCAAGTATGTGAGCTTGTGCATGCCAGTTCTGGGAGTATGTGGTGCTTGCTCTTCTGATAGGCAGGCAGTGGGTCTGTCCAGATGTGGGCATCAGATAGAAGCCTCTGTGTGGCACACGGATGGGAATCTATGATTCCTACTCTTGTCATGGCTTATTGGATGAGACGTTCACCTTCTTTCTTTGTTAAGTTTGTTTGAGGGCTAGCTGGAAAGGCATTGACTTTAAGCAAGACCCATGCTTCTGCACATAATGAGCTAGCACCTCAGGGGAAATGCACAGAGTACCACTGCCCTGGACAGGCTGAGCTTCGGAGGTCAGTTAGTCCCAAGTTTTATTGCTTCATTATGGCCTGCAGTAAGATCTAGCACTTCCGTGTCCCCATCTGGGAAGTGGACACCTCTCCCCAGAAGAAGAGTGTAAAATCTTGCAACTTTTAGGGGGTCAAGACTACCCTGTTCTTGGTAGATTGCTACCCTTCCTTGGGGGTTACCTTCAGTCAGATGCCCACTGTTGGAACTTTTTGAAATTTAAGAAGGTTTCAGATATCACCTTTTCTTTGATTTTTTTTTTAAAAAAATTATTGTTGTACTTTAAGTAGAAGTTTGCAGTTCAAGTTAGTCTCACATACAAAAATTTATATATACATTGTTATGTGACCCTAATTACTCTCCGTATACTGTGACAGCACACTCCTCCTTTCCACCCCTGATTTCCTGTGTCCATTCAACCAGCTCCTGACCCTCTCTGCCTTCTAATCTCACCTCTGGACAGGAGCTGCCTATTTAGTCTCATGTATCTACTTGAGCTAAGAAGCACACTCTTCACCAGTATCATTTTATGTCCCATAGTTCAGTCAAATCTTTGTCTGAAGAGTTGGTCTCAGGAATGGTTTTAGTGCTGGGTTGACAGAGAGTCCGGGGGTCATGCTTTCTGTGGTTCCTCCAGTCTCAGTCAGACCATTAAGTCTAGTCTTTTTACTAGCCTTAAGTTCTGCACCCCACTTTTATCCTGCTCCATCAGGAACTCTCTGTTGTGTTCCCTGTCAGGGCGGTCATTGGTGGTAGCCAGGCACCATCTAGTTCTTCTGGTCTCAGTCTAATGCAGTTTCTGGTTTATGTGGTCCTTTCTGTCTCTTGGGCTAATACTTTCCTTGTCTTTGATATTTTTTTTTTTTAGTTTCTTGCCCATTTAGGCATTTGGCCATGGTTGTTATTAGGTGCCATCAAGTCGATTTTGACTCATAGTGACTCCATGTGTTACAAAGTAGTACCATCCCATAGGATTTTCTTGGCTGTAATCTTTGCAGAAGCAGATTGCCAGGTCTTTCTCCCACAGAACTTCTGGGTGGGTTTGAACCTTTCGGTTAGCAGCCAAGTGCTTAACTGTTTGCACCACCAGGGCTCCTTCAGGCCATGGTAGTCTATAACTAATGGTATATGTGATATGGAGAACACGTGGATATACCTTTACCTACAGCAAAAGCTAGCTACTTGTTCTGAGGTAGTTATTTTACTTCTAGATGGAAAAAGAGAGGCATTTGAGCTCAGTGTTGTCACAAGAGCTCCTCTTGTGGATAACAGATGCAGCCCATGGACTTGGTGGAGGAAGAACCCAAAAAGCCAAACCTCTTGCGATCAAGTTGATTCTGACTCATAGTGACCCTGTAGGACAGAGTATAATTGCCCCATAGAGTTTCCAAGGGACAGCTGATGGATTCAGACTGCCAGCCTTTTGCTTAGCAGGTGACCTCTTAACCACTGCACCACCACGGCTCCTGTGGAGGAGGAATGTGTAGGAAACTAGGAAAGAAATCAGAAGGCTTTGAACCTGTCAGGGAGAGCTTGTAAAGAGAGAAAACTGCTGTTTTAGGGGATGAAATAGAGTCCATAGCGTCTGGAGTTAGGGAAGAGATGGCCTTGGAGAGGAGAATGGAGACCAGGAGAGACAGAGCAGGCTTGATACCTGTGGGCCATTTTAGGAGCAGTCGATGGTAACTCTGTTTCACCATCTGAGGAACTGCCAGGCTGTTTTCTAAAGTGGCAGTACCGTTTTACATTCCCACCAGCAGTGTATGTAGGTTCCAGTTTCTCCACAGCCTCACCAACACTTATTACTGTCTTTTTTATTGTAGGTATGAGTTGGAACGGAGTTGGCAGCTGGCAAGGTGGTTGTGAAGTGGTATCTCATTGTGATTTTGATTTACATTTCCCTGATGGCTGGTGGTGTTGAGAATCTTTTCATGTGCTTATTGGCCATTTGTATATTTTCTGTGGAGAAGTGTCTATTCAGATCCTTTGCCCATTTTTAACTGGGTTATTTACCTTATTATTATTGAATTTTAGCAGTTCTTTATATATTCTAGATATAAATCCCTGATCAGTTATATAATTTCTAAATATTTTATCCCATTCTGTGGATGTCTTTTTTACTTTATGATATCTTTGGAAGCACGAAAGTTTTTAATTTTGATGAAGTCCCATTTACCTGTTTTTTTCTTTTGTCACTTATACTTTTGGTTTCTTATCTAAGAAGATTCTGCCTAGCCCAAGGTCGTGAAGATTTACTCCTACGTTTCCTTCTAAGAGTTTTATAGTTGTAGCTTTTATATTTAGGTCTGTAATCTGTTTTGAGTTAATTTCTGTGTATGGTGTGAGGAACAAATTCATTCTTAAATCGGCTCCCAGTTCTTCTCCTACGTTCCACCCCCATTCTGTCCATTTTCTTTGCTTAATGTAGACTCAGAATTTCCTTTACCTACCTCTTTCTCTTACCCTGCTGCGTTAAAAATCTTTAGTAAATACTACTGCTTTAGTGAGGCCAATGGATGAATTTGTCCATCTGCCGGGCTTCCTACCTCTCAGAGGACAATGGGACTCAGACAGGAGGAGAAAGAAAACCAAGACGTAAAAAGGAGGAATCAACATGAGAATGGATTTATTGGCACCTGTGACTCTCTCTTCTTTCACTTTTCCCCTCTGGAGTTTCAGGTCTTGCTTGGTGCTCCATGGTCTCAGGAATGTATTTCCCGTCCTGTTTTCTGAGGGTGGCACATGAGAAATGATCACTAGTGGTGGCCAGCCCATTATGGAGCTGCCATTGGAACCCCC